GCTGAGGCAGAAGGATCGCTGGGAGTTCCAGACCAGCCTGAGCTACACAGTGAGTTCAGGTCAGTCTCAACTACATAGTGAGACACTGTCTCAACGCCCCCCCCCAAAAAAAACCTGCACAGCAATAGAAACCACTGACAGCATGAAGAGACAACCTACAATGTGGGAAAAAATTTTACCAGCTGTTCCTCAGACAAAGGAAGCTGGGGTGGTGGGGGGAAAGAAAAAAGAAAAAGAAAACCGAAAAAAATAAGCAGCCGCAAATGCAGTTTTCAGAACTTGGATTTTAAGGCCAGTTTTGAATTTTTAAGGTTAGTTGTAGAAATTAAACACTAGGAGGCACCCACTTAACAGTGGAAATAGGTATCATTGAGGTGCTTTTTAAAAATAACTGTGCATAGAAAATTTCCCAAAGATTGTTCTGATCATATGTATGCAGGTTTTTTTTTTTTGGTTACCGAGGATCAAACTCAGGACCTTACGCTTGTGAGGCAGGCCAGGGCCACTGAGCTAAATCACCAGCCCAGCCCTAGTAAACTTTTTTTAATAAGGAAAAATAGGTCAGGCATAGTAGTGCATGACTATAATCTCAGCACTTGGGAGGCTGAGGCAGAAAGACTGCCACAAATTTGAAGCTAGCCTGGGCTATGTAGTGAGTTCAGGGCCAGCCTGAACTACATAGTGAGACCTCTCAAAACTCTATCCTCCCCCAAGGAGGAATATACTCTAACACTGAGAAAAAATATATAAATTGGTAACACAGCTGTTAATTATTATTATCATCAAGTAGTATATGTTTTATTTTTTGTGTATGTATGATGGGTGACTGAATTCAGGGCATTCACACTGAGCTACATTCCCTACTCTTTTAAAAAATTCTAAGAAAGTTTTGCCAAATCACTAAATTACCCAGGCTGGGCTTGAACTTGAAATCTTCCTGCTTGTCTCCCAGGGTGCTGGGATTACAGTATGCTATATTTTCATTAAGATTTACATGTAATACATTTGTTGTTACCAGCATCATCACAAATATGAGAATAATGCACTGCACAATGCTACAGTGGCTATATCACTATGATAGGAATTCTTCAGCTCCCTTTTTTTTTTGGTACCAGGGATTGAACTCAGGACCTTGCTCTTGTGAGGCAGGCATGATGCCACTAAGCTAAATCCCCAGCCCAGCTCTTTTATCTTATGAGACAATTGTTGCACAGTCTGTAGCTGATGAACACAGTTACATTTTAATTTTGAGACAGGGTGTCACTACACTGCTAAACTGCCCAAGCTAGGCTTGCATTTATTATCTTCCTGCCTCAGCTTCCCAGAATGCAGGAATTACAGGCATGTACTACCACACTCAGCTCAATGTGATATTTTAACATGCATATAGCATGGACTGATGAAATGCAATCTTCCTTCCCAACCTCTAGCTATCTCTATTGTATGTTCAGGTTGACTTTTTTTCTGAGCTTCCACATGAGAGAGAACATGCTGCGCTTGTCTTTGCCTTATTTCATTTAACATAATGTCCTCTAATTCATTCACCTTGCTAAAAATGACAGAATTTCAAACTTTATGGGAATATTTCATTTTGTATATATGCCATAGTTTCTTTACCTATTCATCTGTTGATGGGCATGTAGACTAATTCTGTATCTTAGCTACTTTGAATAGTGTTGCTGTAGAGGCATACAAGTATTTGTGTGCTAATTTTATTTCTTTTGGATATATATCCAGTAGTGGAATAGGTGGATTGTATGCTAGATCTATTTTCAGTTTTTTTAAGAACCTCTATTCTCCATAATGACTATACTAATTTACATCCTTATCAGCAGTGCATGTGAATCCCTTTTTATTCACATCCTCACCACGTTACTTTTTGGTAACAGCCATTCTAAATGGGGTGAAATGATATATCATTGAAATTTTGATTTGCATTTCCCTGATGGCTAGTGATATTGAATTTTTTTTCATATAATTGTTGACCACTTGTATTTCTCAAGAAATGATCAGATCATCTGCCCTTTTGTATTTGTCTAATTGGGTTTTTTTTGGTGTTATTTTTTTGAATTCCTTATACATTCTGGATATTAATTCTTTATTAAATAAATAGTTGGCAAATATTTTCATCGATTCTATAAGTTGTCTCTTCATTGTGTTGTCTTTTCCTTTTGCTGTTCAGAAGCTTTTTAGTTTGACGTAGTCCCATTTGTTTTTGTCTCTTGTGCTTTTGGAGTCCTATATATAAAAAAAAAAAAAATCACTGCCTGTATCAACTAAAACTTCTTCAATAAGAATTGCTTAGAAAATGAAAAGACAAGTCACAGGAAATATTTGGAAATTCTATCTCTAAAAAAAGACTTGTATCCAGAATATATTAAAAACTCTTAAAATTCAGTAAGAATCCAATTACAAAATGAGCAAGAGACATGAATAGATATTTCACCAAGAAAGATTCAAGTGGGCTACAAGCACATGAAATGGTGCTCAAAATCATTAGTGCTTAGAAAACCACAGTGATGGCCTGGGGATTTAGCTCAGTGGTGCCTTGCCTTCCTCACAAGGGCAAAGTCCTGAGTCTGATCCCTGTATGGGAAAAACAAAAACAAAAAAACAAAAAAAAACAACCATAATAAGGCATCACTAAAATGCCCTCTGGAATGACTAACATTAAAAGGAAAACAATAATAAATATTGGGAAGGAGATAGAGAAAATGAAATCCTCATAAACTGATGGAAGAAATGTAAACTGGTGAAACCATTTTAGAAAATAGTTTGGCAGTTTCTCAAAATGTTAAAGTCTGCTGGAGCTGGGTATACTGGTTCATGCCTGTAATTCCAGCTATTTAGTAGGCTAAGGCAGAAGGATTGCATGTCTGAAGCCAGCCTGAGCAACTTAGCAAGATCCTGTCTCAAAATCAGAAAAAATTAAAAAATGCTCAGTGGTAGAATACATACCTAATATACATGAGGCCCTGGGTTCAATACTCAGTTCAAAGGACAAAAAGGTAAAGGTGGAGTTATTACATGATTCAACAATTCCACTCCTAGAAATATACTCAAGAGAAATGAATGTCCACACAAAAATGTGAGCACTAACGTTCACAGCAGCATTATTCACAACAGTTCCAAATGTCCACAACTAATGAATGGATAACCAAATGTGGTATATCCATTCAGTGAAACTCTATTTAGCAACAAAAAGAAAGTACTAATACACACTATGACTTGGTGAACCTCAAAAACATGCTAAGAGAAGCCAAACTTAAAAGACTACATATTGTATGATTCTATTTGTATGAAATGTGCAGATAGGTAAATTTATGGAGACAGAAAACAGATCGTGGTCACTCAGAGCAGGACACGGGAACAGGGATTCAATATGAAAGAGCACAAAAGAACTAACTGGGGTGATGGAAATGTTCCACAACTTGTGGTTAGGGATACACATCTCTATACTTTCACTAAAAATCATTAAATGGTTGAATATATACACATAAATACAAATTATAGTTTAATGAAAGTGTTAGAGAAGAGTAGAACTTATTGTCGTAGATATCTACCTAGATCTAATAAAAGCACAGGAGAAGTGAGAATAGGGAAATGATCTGCATCATAATAGTGACACCATATATTTATTTATACACATATAAGGAGACAGTTTTTTTTCAGAGAGCAGCTGTGGTGTTTTCTACTTCAAGGTCCAGGGCATGCCTTCCCTACACCCCAAGGTCACTTTATTTTTGTGTTCCCCAATTCTTAGACATTCTTATTCTTTGCATCTCTTACATTATACTAGAACATTATACATTTTGATGTCTGCAAGCCCCTTCAATGCAAGGACAGTAAATTCCTCATCTCTAGTTCTGATGGCCAGTCAGTTATAGGAAGAGCAGGAATCAGTGAATGTCTGTCAAATTAATAAAATGAAAATTAAAGGGGGAGATAATTTTATACCAAAAATGTTTTAAAAAGATATAAGGGCTGAGAAAGAGTATGAACATTATTTAGAAGTCAGGCTAGCCTTACTGTTTATATTGGAGACGTGGACACACAAATTTAAACATGACTTCCTGGAATGTGGTCAAAATTCAATTTTATCCAAGGCAGTTTAGGAACATATTAAACTTTCCAAGATTAGTCTGCTCAGCAAGCAAATGAGCCATTAAAGAAATCTGATTTCAAAAAAAGTACAAAGAAAAGAAAAGAAAGAAATCTGATTTCCCTGTAAATACATGACAAGATTAGCAAAGCCCAAATACATACAATTCCTGTACATTTGGGTTAGCGTCAAATAGCCAGCTCTGAAAGAAAGGACAGTTGAAGGGGGTCACACAAGATGGCCAGGCCAGCTCTTCCCATCCTCTTTATTTCTCATCTTACACAGTCTCAGATTAAACAGAGTAAGCTGGGAAGCTTCAGCCCAGAAGTGACACGGCGTGACCTTGGGTACATTGATCTGGAACCAAAACGCATTTCCAGGCCACTTTCTCAGGCTCCTTCCTAACCCTCAACTTAGAGTAAGATCCGAGCAAGAGGCCAGATACCTAGAAACAGCCAGCGCGCAATCACCAAAGCCAGGAGAAAGTAGAAGGCCTTCTAGATCCCTTCATTAATGTACGAGCTTGAGAGAAAAAGGGCAAGGAACAATACAAGCGTGGAATTCTGGAGAATGAGACGAGAGTCGGGGAGAAATACTTGGCTTGGCCGCCAGTACGGCAAAAAAGGTTCCGTAGGTCTCCGCGAGAGCAGTGTTAGAGAGGGGAAATAACCTAGAACCTGAGCGAGACAAGCCTGGAACCTCCGCGTGCGGAGTCGGGGTCGTGTTGGGGCCTAAGAATACAGGAGTCCCCGGGCGCATCACGCAAGGAGGCGGGCCGGGGGCCGGGGGTGTGACCAGAGCCCCCAGGAACAGGTCCGCGGTCCCGCCTCCTCTCTGCGCCACTCCCCGCAAGCCAAGCAGGCGGGTGAGGGGCTTCAGCTTCTAATCCCCGACTCACCTTCTTCCCTCCCCACCGGCTGAGTACTGGACACTGCTTCCCACAGGCGGCGCGCCCTCTCGCGGTCGAAGCGCACTCCGTCCGGTTCCCCGCCCTCCCGCTCTCCCGAGCTGTTGTATGGCTCGGCCCTTCCGCCATCCGCAGCACCTACAGTGCCCAACACCGAATACTCCATCTTTCCTGCAAGCCCAAGCCAGTAGAGAGCTGCTTCTGCGCCTTGGTATCGCGAGATGTTGAGCGGCAAGGACGCGCAAGGAGGCGTTGGTGGTGGGGGAAATCCTGTCCAGCAGATCTCGCGATGTTTGGGCGCTGCATCCTTCTTTGCGTCTCTGGGCCTGAGGTTTGTTTTGGTTTGCAACCTCCGGGACTTTTCGTTCTTCTGCGGTGTGTTTGGAAACCTGTAGTCCTTTCCCCAGTAAGGTCCTTTCCCCAGTAAGGTCCCCTCCCTCCAGATGGCCTCGTGCGATTCTTGGTTCAGGGTTCTCACGTTGCTCACGGTCAGCCGTTGACCCTTTTCGTTTTTATTGGATCATGTTATATGGAAAAATTCCCCCATTTTACTGGTGTGGAAACTAAAGCCCAGATCCTAAAAGTTGGTTAGTCAAGAGTTTGTTACTACTAAATGGCAGAGCCAGGATTCCATCATGTTTCAGTTATTGTTAATCTAAGGCCATACCAGCCTGAATGCGCCCGATCTCGTCAATTACTGCAAATAAATAAGTACCATTTGTTGAATTCCAAGTACCAACCCCTGCCCCTTAAACACCAGATCCATATATCCAGTTGCCCGTTTGACCCTTCTACTTGGATGGCTACCAGGCTTCTGCAACGTTAAATGTCAAACAAAATTTTATCTCCTAACTCCAGACCTGCTCCTCCCCCAATATTTTTTGGGCCACCATCTCTTGTCATGGTAGTATCCTCTCTGGTCCCTTCCCTAACCCTTCAGGTATTTCCAGCCCTGGAGCACCAGGGAATGTCATGCAACAAGTTAGATCATGGCATTCACATGCTCAAATCATTCAGTGGCTCTCCATATCCCTCTTGGCCAAAGTCCTGACTTTGACCCAGGTCTTATATAATCGATTTCCCTTAATCGCTGTGAGCTCTTCTAATGTGTTACTCAGTCCTCAAACCCTAATTCTTGCCCCAGTAGCCTCCTTTAATGTATTTCTCCCACATATACCAATAACTCTATCTCTTTTTCTCTTATCCCTTCACTCACAGCCCGGTCCGTATCCTCCTTTACAGCTTTATTATTTTTTCTCCTTAATATTTCTCACGCATAGTATATGTTTTAGTTTTTAATCTTGCTTATTGTTTATATTTCTACTGGAAGACAAATTCCAGCAAAGCACGGATTTTTGTCTATTTTGTTCACAGCTAAATCCCCAGCATCTTGAAATAGAGCCTAGATCCTCCTAAGTACATACAAAATATTTTTTGAGTGAGTGATGCTTATAATTACCTATTTTGATCTCATTTATTAAAATATTGATATTTATTATGAGGTAGATGATATTTAGGACATTGGAATACAGTGGTGAACTAGACAGGGAAATGAGCAGGTAAGCTCTAGTATTTTTATTAGTGTATTTTTATTACTGTATTGGAGAAAAGTATAATACAAAAGTTGACATAGTAATAATTGCTAAGGAGAAGACAAAATAAGGAAACATCAGATGAATTGTGAGGGAGAAACATTAGGGTGTTCAGGAAAAGTATCTGAAGAAATGACTTTTGAGCTAAGACCTGATTGAGGAGAAAGGAATGCCTATGCAAACTTCAAGGGAGTATTTCAGGAAGAGATAGGAGTGAGTTGATGTGTTGGAGGAACAGGAAAATGGACAATGTGGGAGGAGCCTAGAGAAGGGGGAAATGGTAACGAGGTCAAAGAAAGATTATTTTTGCTTGAGATCACCTGGATCATAATGTGCTTTACTCATTTATACCACACATATTTACTTATTTATGTGGGAGTCTTTTCTTATCTGCAGGGACACATTCCATGATGTTCCATGGATGCATGGAACTGAGATAGTACTGAACTCTATATATACTATGTTTTTGCCTCTGAATACATAAAGTTTAGCCAACCATGCTGGTGCATGCCTGTAATCGCAGCACTTGAGAGGCTGAGGCAATAGGATCACTCAGTTAAAGGCCAGCCTGGGCAACAAAATGAGCTCAAGGCCAGCCTGAACTACATAGTGAGACCCTGTCTCCAAAACAAAATAAACAAACAAATATATATATTAAATTTAATTTTATAAATTGGAAACAGTAAGAGATCAACAACAATAACTAATAAAACACAAACATTATGACAATATACTGTAATGAAAGATTTTTAAAGCTTATGAATTATTTATTTCTGGAATTGTCCATGTAATATTTTTGGACCATAGTTGATCATGGATAACAAAACCAAGTATAAAGGGGAATTACTGTATTACAAGAATGGCCCAGTCCTGGATTCCTTGCTAGAATCTGGTGCTACAGGTAATGCCTTGTATGTGTTGGGTTGATTATATTTCTTTTGAATGAAAAATGAGACCCATTTGCAGTGCATTTTTCTGTGTATTTTTGCCATAAGGAATGAACAGACTTAGAGAAATGATTTTGCCAAGGGGCATGAACTGGCTACACTGACTCAGGATGTGGCTTAGTGTAAAGCAGTGCCTAGCATCAATCCCTAGCATTTCACAAAATAAAAATAAAATCTGGTGTGATGGTCAGGGCCTATAATTTCAGCACTCTGGGAGATTGAGGCAGGAGGATTTTAAATTCTAGCCCAGCCTTAGTGATTTGGCAAGAACCTGTCTCAAAAAATTAAAAAGGGCTGAAAATGTAGCTTAATGTGACGACCTAGGGTTCAGTCACTGTACTGATAGAGAAAAGAACAGGCTATGTAATTCAGCACACATTTCAGCTATGTAAACACTATCACTGTGTATATGGCACAAACTCACATGCTGTTGTACTTAGTAAGATATAGTTCCTGCTCTCGGGGGGATTTAATTCTTTGTCTAACTCTCAAATGTTTGAAATATACGTATGTATGTGTATGTGTGTGTGTGTGTGTGATATAAAACTTCTAAGTATATATATCTGAGAGTGTGTGTTAACTGCTATAATAGAGGTGACAAGGTTAGTGTGGATGGGGTGGGACAATGAATCCACAGTGTGTGGATCATGACAGTATCTGCAGTACCTCCTGTAGGCTTTTACCTCTCAAATGTAGTTATGTATCTCTTGACTGTTAGTGGTGGCTTCAGATTAGTTGTTTGAATATGAACCCAAGATTGAACCAAAACAACAGTGAGAGGTGGCCTTCTTTTTTTTTTTAAGCAGTCCAAAGATTATTTGAAAAAGTGAAGTCAAGAGTGAGGGAGAAACTGGCTCTTCAGAGCAGGTTTGGGCCAAGTAAAATGGGAAAAAGCAAGATAAAAGTACACTGGGCTGGGCTGGGGATTTAGCTTAGTGGCACTGCACGTGCCTCACAAGTTCAAGGTCCTGAGTTCAAGCTCAGGTACACTGGCCAAAAAAAGTACACTGGGCAGGCTATAGTGAGAAAAACTATAATAGCAAGTAGAGGTGCTCTTAAGGAGAACCATGGAAGAGCCAGCCCTAGCCAAGGTTGGGGTGCTCGTATTTGCTGCAGTCCAGTTCATTTCTCAGGCTTTATGGTTTTTTAGTGTCTTCAGGGATGCAAGGAAACAGTGTGTTCAGATGATGACAGATTTAAATTCAGAGACTTTTCAAGGACAGATCGAAGGTATGAGCAGTTGCAGATCATAGATTTTCAGAGGATTTTTAGAAGTTGGAAAAGGAGGACAATTGTGTTAGATTCGTTAATGCTACCCAACTTTCCCCACCCTATATCCTACTTAGAAAAGGCACATATCTGTGTGGCACATTAGAGAAAACAGATAAAGGTGTTCTTTCTCATTTACTGCAGTAAGTTCCAGGGAATCCAGCCCCTCTAGTCCCTACTGGGCCACCTTTGGATCTGGGAGGATAGATGCTCAGAGTCATATGGGGAAGAGAATTTAGGTGCAGTGAGTGGCCTTATCTTGAACCTGATATCTGAAGCCAGCAGTGTTAGGGAATTGATCATGTTAAAGCATACTGTGACGCCGCCTCACAGGCTGCATACTCCTGGTACATCTTGGCTCCTAAAATGACCTCATGCCCTTATCTCTGTTTTCCCTCCCCACCAAGGCCACAGTGGTCCAGGAAAGTTAAAACCTGTGTCTGCAAGACTGGGCCCATAAAAGCAATCTGGCCTGTGATACTGTGATAGGTTAAAAGTAGCTCACTCCTCATAAATAAACAATAGCCCACGCCAAAACTGATGAAAGGACCTTCCTTTCTTTGTTCTTCTCTCTCCTTCTGCTTCTTCTTCCTCCTCTCTCTCTCTCTCTCTCTCTCTCTCTCTCTCTCCCTCCTTTCTGCCTCCCGGCCTTTGTGCTCTGCCTGACTCTCTGCAATAAAGATCTCCTGTTGGACCTCTCGGTGCGTGAGTGACCTGATTGGGAAGGGGACACCCTAAGGGGACACGCGAGACCCTTTTCAAGCAGTATGGGGAGTTACCTCAGTAATCTCTGAGAAGTGAGCACATATTCAACATGGCATCAGCTGTTCTCTTTGCACTCATGACCTATATTTCCTTTTGTAAACTAACACTTGGGAAGCTACTTCTTTATCTATAAGATGAAGAAATAATACCCACTTCAAATAACTGTGATCAAGATTAGTGTAAGGTCCTGAATTCAATTCCCAGTACCGGGAGGAAAAAAAAAAAAGATTAGCCAATATAATCTCCATAAAATACTTAGCATGTTGCAAGGCATATAGTACAGTGGACCCTTGACTTATGAACTTGATTGATTCCCAAGGGCTTATTGTAACTCATGTTGATTATAAAACAATATAGCTGATATCTGGATGTTCACTTGGGTACACACTATGGATAAGAAGAGGCAGACTAATCTTCCATTAACCCAATTAACCCAAGTTGTTCATATTTCAGGCCAGTTGTAACTTGAGGGTCCATTGTACTTAGGAATTCACTAAGACATGAAAAATTTGTAGAATGAAAACTATAAATTATTGCTGAAAGAAATTAAAGGATGTATAAGTTAATCAAAATATGAGGTATAATCAAAATATATACTGAATATTAATGTAATAACTATCATGATTTCTAATGTCATAGGTTAATTTTGCCCACTTTTGAACTTTATATA